GTACCTCAGGGAAGTATCGGGGGAGATGTAACGTTCGTTGATGAGCTCTGTTAACAGCATTTTCAAGTTTGGTGTTCAGTTTCCCAGAGCTTTTTTTATGCCTTTACTTCATGTTTTCCGAGGTCTTACTCTCGCTCTATACCCGTAGTAACGTTTCAGTGTGGCTCGCTGTGGTAGATAGTACTAGGATATTCTTGTTAGGCGTCCAAACAACTTCAATTGTTGTTGTTGTTTTTTTTTTTTATATAAGTTGGAAGACTGGCTTTTTTCATAGCATTCGTCTGATTTCATCATTTCGTTTTCTTTCTTTCCTTGAAACTCATGTAGCTCTTATAAAGCATTTCATCTCTGTTGTCACAATTTTACATAAATTAGAGGACTTGAGCGTCTACTTTTGGCACTGATAGCATAGTGTTGGCCAAAACCAGTTCTGATAAGATTTACTTGTGTACTCCAGGGTATTTGCCTGTGTGTCAACAGGGAAGATGGTTACCCCATTACTTGATTAGCTTTGGCACATTTCAAAAGGATGTGAAAATTGCTCCCGAATACTTAAATTTCTTTGTTTGTCTTGAGGCGTTGTTCTGTTTTAAATTTTTATTTTGAAATTGCCTTTTTTCTTCCTGTCACCATTATCTGTCTTCCAAGTGTTTATTATCATTTTTGTATTCCTCTCCTTTGTTATTAATTTGATTTAGCTGGTTCTGTAGGCATTACGTATTTTTTGCTATGAGTACCTGGTTAAAGAATTATAGTTAAGTCTGTCATAATTTTAATTTATTTTATTTGAGACGCCTATTTATGCAATGCATTAAAGTAAAGACAGTTACTTTAATTGTATTTCCAAAAATGTATTAACTTTAGAGCAGTGTTTAACAAATAGTTCTGACCTTAATGCATCTGTTAAAAAGTTATGATTTTAGGACATCCTATTTCAGGTAATAATTTTTTTTAAATTTATCATAGTTCAGACAATAATTACTTTGAGTCAGCATGTTTCAGACAAAAATTACTTTAGTACATCATATGTCGACAATAATTACTTTAATTTATCATACTGAAAAAGATATATATATATATATATATATATATATATATATATATATATATATATATATATATATATATATATATATATATATATATATATAGTTATTTTAAATCAGACATTAATTACTTTAATTCTTCATATTTCAGACAATAATTACTTTAATTTATCATTATCATCATCATCTTCTTCTTCTTCGTCTTCTTCTTCTTCTTCTTCTTCTTCTTCTTCTTCTTCTTCTTCTTCTTCTTCTTCTTCTTCTTCTTCTTCTTCTTCTTCTTCTTCTTCTTCGTCGTCGTCGTCTTCTTCTTCTACTTCTTCTACTTCTACTTCTTCTTCATCTTCTTCTTCTTCGTCGTCGTCGTCGTCATCTTCTTCTTCTACTTCTTCTACTTCTTCTACTTCTTCTACTTCTACTTCTTCTACTTCTACTTCTTCTTCTTCTTCTTCTACTTCTTCTACTTCTTCTTCTTCTTCTTCTTCTTCTTCTTCTTCTTCTTCTTCTTCTTCTTCTTCTTCTTCTTCTTCTTCTTCTTCTTCTTCTTCTTCTTCTTCTTCTTCTTCTTCTTCTTCTTCTTCTTCTTCTTCTTCTTCTTCTTCTTCTTCTTCTTCTTCTTCTTCTTCTTCTTCTTCTTCTTCTTCTTCTTCGTCTTCTTCTTCTACTTCTTCTTCGTCTTCGTCTTCTTCTTCTTCTTCTTCTTCTTCTTCTTATTATTATTATTATTATTATTATTATTATTATTATTATTATTATTATTATTATTATTATTATTATTATTATTATTATTCTGCGTTGTCTTCTTCTACTTTTTCGTGTTCACCGACAGAGAGCTCTGACCGTCCACTTTTGGACTTAAACCTTTTTTTCAGAATCTCAGTTTTCCTGGCACATCTGTTTTACATGTCTGGCGAAAATGCCAACCATTAAATGTGCATTTGTTCTTATTTGTATTATATTCAACTACAAAAATTATAATATTTCTGAGAAATATAAATAATAATGCAGTTGAGAAAGAAACATTATATATTTGGGTCAGCAGTTTATAGTATGTTTGGGATATACACATTATTTGGCAAAGATAAATAAACTGCTTATGAGGAAAAATATAAAGTATTTTGAAGAAGACACATTATGACAAATATTAATTTAATTGAAGAAGATAAATAAAATGCGTTTGGGGAAGAAAAATGAGAATGTATTGGGGAAAGTTAAATCATGACAAATTGTTGTTTTTGAGAAAAACAAATTATAATGTAATTAGGGAAGACAGGTACATTTTTCAATAACAACGCCATGATTGGAACTACCACTACGATATATAGATTTGTGCAAGCGGGACATGAATGGTGCAGGTACTGAGGTGGACCCGTGGAAACAAAAGGCCGTGGACCGTGTTGTGTGGATGGAACACAACAGGAAGGGAATGAGAATGAAGGAAGAAATGGTTGCTGAAAGGATGACAACTGAGCGTCTGACAAGAAACAAACACACTAAACACAAATGTTGACAACAATGATCCTGAAATCCCATGCTATAATTGCGTGGAAGTCTTTTCTTAACGCGGGCGAGTCTTGCTAGTCATAGTCACTATCGCCATGGGATGTGAATCCCATGCTTCCTTATAAAACTATCGTCTGGATAGACAGAAAGGTGCCTGTCCTATTAGAAAACTGTTGCAAATGAATTATGATTGATTCTTGTCTATTAATTGACGGGTGATTTATTGACTCACTCACTACACCGGAAACTCACTGTACGTTTGTTAGTGTCAGCTGATATAATATACTTTTTCTGAACTTATTGGGACCAAAGCAGTTTTCTTTGTCGCAATAACCTATTTCCCCAAGTCATTATCCTCCGCCCCAGAACAAGGCACAACCGATTATGTAGCCACATGTACACAAAATTCAAGATTGGTGTATCAGCCATGTGCACTTGTGGAAAGGTGCCCCAGACAGCAGAGCATGTACTCCAGGACTGCACCGAATTTGACACATTAGGGCAAACCTTTTGGTCAGAAAGGACAACAGTGGAATGTAAACTCTATGGACCACTGAATGAACTAACGACAGTGAAATTTATACAAGAGACAAAACTGCTGATATAGACAACGTATTTCAGGTGAACGAAAGAAGAAGAAGAAGATAATTCTCCCCCGTTTGGGTTCCGGGGCCCTATTATAGAGAAACCAAGAATAGACTCACTGCCTACCCAAAAGCATGTCGTAAAAGTCGACTAATTGGGAGCTTCCTTCGAAGTCGGAGTGCATCTGCCTAATGCTAAATGTGTCAGATCTGTCAAACGGATGGACATGCAACTCTCAGCTTTTGCAACAGGACTACAATTGTGGACGAACAACCAGAACTTTCCACCAGAGCTTACAGCTGGTGAACGCAAAGGAGAAGAAATTACAATTCTTACTTTTACTCGTTATGTTGCATAGCAGGGACGCGGTTACAAAGACAACATTGGAGGGTGCAAAGCTACAGCGCCTCATCCCCGAACTTAAGGGAAAGGGGGTACTCAAGAGGCCTAAGACTCGCTTTAGTGCATAATAATAATAATAATAATAATAATAATAATAATAATAATAATAATAATAATAATAATAATGTGCTGGATACCAAAAAAATATCATAACAGGTGAAATTATACGAAACGCTTAATCAAATACACGAAAAAGAAAACTTCCATACATAATTAGGGGTCTATTTAGTTACCTTAAGCTTCGGGGAGGATGACTGAGATATCGCTACAATTGTTTTTAAGGGGGTAGTGAGGGGAGGGGGGAGGGTGCCCTTAAGGGACCTATCGCCTAATTTTCCAACACCCCTGTGTGGTATTTTCTAAGACCTAGACATGTAATATTTAAAGTAACAACTTTGTAAATTATAACAAATTAACGTAAACTGGAGTGGATCCAGAAGAGATATTGCTTTCAGATGAATGATGATCAACAGATATTTTAAGATAACTACTGGTGTCTTCACATGAAGACTGGATTATTTTCTGAAGGGACTGATGGCTGGTTGAGGTTCACAAACGTCTGTTGACTCATTCTTTGACACAAATGATTGATGATTGATGTAAACGGATTAAAGAATGGCCGATTAATGACTGGCTGAATTTTTTTTCTTTTTAATGTAAAATAAGACTGATGAATGTCTGATACTTTCAGAGAATGACAACCGATCAGTGTGTTATTTAAATGACCGACTATTGGTTGATTGATTGATTGATTGATGATAAATAAGAGATTATAACAGGTGAAATGATTGGTTATAAATAGTAGACAGTTAGGAGCTGATGACCGTTAACTAATTGATGATTGGTTGGAGTATTGATTAACTATAAGTGATTAATATTTTATTGTTGAACTGATTGACGAATTTTAATTTCTGATGAATTGAGCAATTATCAATTATTGATAAGAATTATGCACAGTTAATTGAAAAATCGGGTGACGATAAATCTGCTTCTCCTACTCCTCCTCCTCCTCCTCCTCCTCCTTCTTCTTCTTCTTCTTCTTCTTCTTCTTCTTCTTCTTCTTCTTCTTCTTCTTCTTCTTCTTCTTCTTCTTCTTCTTCTTCTTCTTCTTCTTCTTCCTCTTTTTCTTTGCATTCACCGACTGTATTTGTAAACAATGTAAACTCTGGTGGTAAGTTCTGGTTGTTCGTCCACCTCCGGATTGTAGTCTTCTTCCTGAGCCTGAGGGTTGCATAATCATCCGTTTTACAGAATTGGCTTATCTGTATGCAGACTTTTAGTTCCTTGCCACTTGGATAGATACACTATGTCCCCAAATAGTCGACCCCTGCAATATGCTTGTTGGTAAGACAAGGGGTCTATCCTCCCTCTCTCCGTCGCCCCCAAAACACAATGGGGTCCCAGAGCCCACAGTAGGATGAGGTTAAATAACTGCTGATTTACAAATGAGGTAAACATACTTACAATTCGTCTGTGGAAACCTGGAACTGAGAAACCAGGAAGACAACCCTTGCGCTGAAGGAGATGCTATGGCCTGAACTGATGGTGGTGTTGTAATTGCTGAAGCTGAAGCTGTCGACATCTGTGGTGCGACGGCCGCTGAGGGATGATGGTGAAGATGTGCCGGCTGTGGTTGCGATGGTAAGGCAGGCCATCTTAAGTCTTGCGGTACAGGGCTGACATTGCTGTGTGGACTCGAATCGTCTCTGATGTTATTTACAAAGTTCTGTGCCGAAACTTTGGGCCTTTTCTTGTCCGGTTTGAGGATATCCTCGACGGAAAATGAAAACGCTCTGGTGGGTGTAGAGGTTTGGTGGTTTTCTTTAGTGCTGGGAGGTCTCGGATCCATCTTGTGGCAGATTTCGGGTGAATTCGGGCTGTGGGGTGTGGATGCATGGCTACGGGCCTCGTGGCTGTTACTGTCACTTAGTGATGGGGACACACACGAATCGTCGTTATCTAGAACATCGTCACTGCTGTTCTCGAGGTGCCGGCTGTCGTGCTGATGCAGCTCCTGTAGATGCTGGTAGTGATGATGTTGGTGGGAGTTTGAAAAAGCCGACGGAGGTGAAATCGGGGATAAATTTGAAAGTTTGTTTGACTTTGACAACATGTCCATCACGGGAGATGAGCCTTCCTTGCCAATGATGTATTCGGGGAGGGGTCCTAAAGCCATGGTAGCAGGTCGTGAAAGTGGGGTGAATGCAGAGTGCTCGCTAAACAGCAAAGACATTATTGCATAGCGTCCACCTCAGAAGCGGTCACCATTAATTCTGCAAAGTTTCGATTCCTAAAATTCAAATTCACTGAAGTTTCGATCGACAACACTTAAATTCTTTCAAAACCTAACTTCTCGATTGAAAACTTAATAAAATTCATAAAAGAATACTATAACATCAACTTTACTTTTAAAATATAATTGTAGTTTAACTCTACACAGCAAAGTACGTACAACGTAAGGCACACTACGCGAGTTGTCAGTCAGATGTATTTCCACACAACAGAAGACATTCCACGGAAAAGTTTGAATATTTCGACCACCGCGAAATCCAGAATTCCTTCCTGGCTGTTGTTCCCGACTTCTGATGCTCAATCGACAGGAGCCAGAAACTGACAATCCTAATGGCTTTACCGCCGCTTCAGTGAATTTCTGGCTGACTTTCAAAGGGTCGAACAGAAGAAACGTCCATGTCAGTTTACACTAAGGATCCGCTACTGAATATCTTGGCCCCGCCCTAAGCACCGCCCTCTGATTTATCAGTGGCCAGTGAATGCGCGCAAAATGTTAGCAGGCTGGATCAGGCTGATTCTCATTGGCCGCGAGAAGATAATTACTTCTGGATTTCGTAACTCCTGTTATTTCTCTACGGGTTCCCCTGTTTGAGACAAGGGACTAAACAACAACGCAAAGTTAATTTTAACATTCAGATGATTTTAGCTGGTGTTGTGAACTACCACAAAACGATCATCAAGTACTCTAAACCTAGCGGACCGTGACAATACAGTACATTAATAGTTTAGGAGAAAGGCTTCATACTTTCATTCTTCAGCTTTTGCACCAGAGACTGCGAGCACTTTACCGCCCCCCCCCCCCCTTTGCCCCCACCAGCATTAGAAAATTCTTAGGAATTAAATCCCTAGAAAATCCCAATATAACCTTTTAAAGATGTTTAAATTTCAAATATATTACATTGGTTTGCTATTCAGCATAAACAAGATGTGTTATTGTTATTAGAATAGATTAAAGGAAGGTTTCAACCACTAGACGCCCTGTAAAAAAATTATATGTTGGCTAAGCTGCCACATGATTATGGTGATGATAAATGACGATGATGATATAGAATGATGAAGGTGATTATTATAAATGATAATGACGATGACAACGATGATGATAAATGGTAATGACGTTGACAAGGATGATGGTGATGAAAAAGGATGATGATGATCAATAAACATGATGACGATGATCTTGGCGCGCCATATGTAACCCAGGCCCGTGATTAGTTATGTCTTTGGAATCCCAGTTAGCTAATCGACAGATTATCCCCACTGCTCATCGGACAAGTCCTAAGCGCTCGAATCCCATCTTCGCCAAATTCCTCAGCGTGTGGTCACTGGTAACACCAGTTTCGTGTTGGTTTACTATTCTTCTTTGGCTACCTGTATAGAGTTCATGTTTGATGACAGTTCTTTTGACCTGAAGTTCATGTAGTCTTTTGAATGTTACCGAGTCAAAGTCGCCTCTTGAATTATCTCCTCCTACTGCCTTTTTGAGAGCATTGAGAATGTTGGCACGGTCCATTGCTTTTCCTGTACCTACCGCGGCCCTGCCAGCAAGCCAATCCGCTCGTTCATTCTCTCTTATCCCAGAGTGTCCTGGCACAAAAATGAATCTAATTATTTTCAGACGAAATTTCCTCAGTGACTGGAACCATTTTCTTGTAAACCATCCGTCTCTATTCTCTTAAGCATGTTCGTGGAATCGCTTGAAAAGCACGCATAGAGAAAATGCATGTCTCTAGCCACATTATTGCTTTTGTTAGCGCCATCACCTCCGTGGTCAGACTATTTGTAGTCGATGCAACAGCCCCGATATCTTCTTTTACGGTTTATCCTTGAACTAGAATCGTGAAAGTCCTTGAACTTTGAAATAACAAAAGGTAAAGTCGGGAGTTGTGAACCAGCGACATTGCACACGTTTATAAACCATAAGTGCTCTGTTACCAGTACAGAGAGCTGTTAAGAAACTGCCCGTCTGTGTCGCCGTTCGCACGTAACTCTGTAGCTACAGCGACGTTCCTCCATTTACCCCAGAGTGTCACTCTGGTACCCATTTCCTAGAGGCTGGGTGAACCCCGGGAACCGCCCGGTTTCGAACACTGACTGTGGCTGCTGCGAGTCGCAGCTGGATTTGAAAGCGAGCCTCCTATCGACTGCGCTAACACGGCTCCCGTTGAACTTTACTTTGTACGTGTCGAAAGACCGATCCGTCAGTGGAGATAATCGCACCTCCTGGAATCCCAACCATTGTCTAATGTGTTCCACTTTTTGCAGTCACTCGCAGGACACCAAATAAATCTACTTTAGGCGTTAGCCGTAAGCCGCCGTGGTGTAGAGGCTAGACGCTAGCCTACGGATGCGAAAGTCGTGTGTACAGGTCCAGACAGAGCCAAACTTTCTCCAAAAAGGACCTTGGTTCCCACGTCGACTCAGGTCTAATTGAGTAACAGATGAGGTTGTGGGAAGTGAAGGCGACCGGCATGATGTTGACCACATCACAAGTACCATTAGTCTTTTTAACTTGGACTTCTAGAAATGTCCCCTGGTGTCTGGGTAGTAAGATCGGACGTCCGTGTGTATTTTTGCTCACGTAGAATAATCCCTAGGCCGCTGAGAAAAGAAAAGAGTAGCCTATCGGCGCTGCCCAGGCAAAATTTGGAGTTAAAAATCTACCCAAAGTATTTTAGGATCATCGCCGGTACTACGAAGTTCGTGCACTGTGTTGAGAATTTCGGACCTAGACTTGAGTTAGAAGTAGAACGGAGCACACACAGGTTAGAACCTTTGTGCCATGATGTTGATCCTTGTTTAAACCTAGAAAAATTCTCAGAATACTATGGACAAATAAACAAACAAACAAACAAAAAACAGAAGGAATATTGACATTCTAAAAGACCTGAACATCAAGGAAGATTGGCTAATAAACAGCATCTTGTCTCGGAAGATAAAAAATGTTGGTCACATCAAGGGCCATGTCGGATTTGAAAAAATAATTGCAGAAGGCATGGTACCAAGAAGGAGGGGCAGGGGCCGACCAACACGAAGATGGGTGCAGGATATAAGTGACTCCTTGAGTGTGAAAGTGCATGAGGCAGGAGAACTGGCGAGAGACCGAGTTTCTTTCAGGCAAACCGTCTTGAGAGCGACGTTCTGTAAAGGACTAGCTACATGATGATGATAACCCAGTGAACCTGAAGGTTCTGAAAAGAGTCCTTTAATTTTACGCATTAGCCTCAATATATAAAACATGTTCCGTCTCCACAATGAAGGGTGGCTACAGTGTTCCACTTTTGTCGTTTTTTCATATTATTTGGTTATATCCTAGTCTCTTCCACGGTGTGACGCTCGTGCATTTGTCCGAAAACCACAAAAACGATAATATTTTTTAGCATTCCGGAGGGAAGAGATAAGGAAAAGAGAGCAAAGTTATACATTCTGAGGGGAAGAGGTGATCGCAAGAGAGCAAGGTGATATATTATGGAGCGAAGAGCTGAAGGCAAGAGAGCAAGGTTATACATTCTGGAGGGAAGAGATGAAGGCAAGAGAGCAAGGTGATACATTCTGGAGGGAAGAGCTGAAGGCAAGAGAGCTAGGTTAAACATTCTGGAGGGAAGAGATGAAGGCAAGAGAGCAAGGTGATACATTCTGGAGGGAAGAGATGAAGGCAAGAGAGCAAGGTGATACATTCTGGAGGGAAGAGATGAAGGCAAGAGAGCAAGGTGATACATTCTGGAGAGAAGAGATGAAGGCAAGAGAGCAAGGTGATACATTCTGGAGGGAAGAGATGAAGGCAAGAGAGCAAGGTGATACATTCTGGAGGGAAGAGATGAAGGCAAGAGAGCTAGGTTAAACATTCTGGAGGGAAGAGATGAAGGCAAGAGAGCAAGGTGATACATTCTGGAGGGAAGAGATGAAGGCAAGAGAGCAAGGTGATACATTCTGGAGGGAAGAGATGAAGGCAAGAGAGCAAGGTGATACATTCTGGAGAGAAGAGATGAAGGCAAGAGAGCAAGGTGATACATTCTGGAGGGAAGAGATGAAAGCAAGAGAGCAAGGTGATACATTCTGGAGGGAAGAAATGAAGGCAAGAGAGCAAGGTTATACATTCTGGAGAAAAGAGATGGAGGCAAGAGAGCAAATTTATACAGTCTGGAGGGAAGAGAGGAAGGTAAGACAACCAAATTATAAATTTTTTCCCAGGAAAGTGAGGTGCATTAACTGAATTTATTTTGTTCTTTATAAACGTTGTATATCCCGTTTGAAAAAAAATATTAGAGTTCGAAAATATAAATTTGGTCTACGACCGGTTCGACTTAGACTTGTTGGTCAAAATGGAACTCGATGGTAAGTCGCCGAGACACTAAAAAGGGTACCATTGTGAAGCGATCACACGAGGGCAGGCTCAGTACTACCAATTCAGACAAGGGCAGGCTCAGTACTACCAGTTCAGACAAGGGCAGGCTCAGGACTACCAGTTCAGACAAGAACAGGCTCAGTACTACCAAATCAGACAAGGGCAGGCTCAGTACTACCAGTTCAGACAAGGGCAGGCTCAGGACTACCAGTTCAGACAAGAACAGGCTCAGTACTACCAAATCAGACAAGGGCAGGCTCAGTACTACCAGTTCAGACAAGGGCAGGCTCAGGACTACCAGTTCAGACAAAAACAGGCTCAGTACTACCAAATCAGACAAGAACAGGCTCAGTACTACCAGTTCAGAAAAGAGCAGGTTCAGTACTACCAGTTCAGACAAGGGCAGGTTCAGTACTACCAATTCAGACAAGATATTTAATCGGGTTTACTTTTCCTAATCTTTGTTTCCAGCCTTCATGCAAGGCAGCAGAGTTGTGTCCACCTTTGTCTAGCTTCTAACCCTGCACTGTCCAGCGGGAAACACCCAAACTAATTAACTAACTAGCTAGAAGGCTGTGTGGTCTCGAGACATAGTGTCC